GACCAGTGGCAAATGTTGGTGACATCTAGCAGGTGCAATATATGGGACTTAAACATAATTAGGCCAGCTAGGTTATTTATAATTAACATGGAATATATTTAAATATATTCTTGGGATAAAATATACTACTATGAAACAATGATAGTTGCCATTACTCTAGTAGTGGAGATGAAGAAGTGAGTGATTTAAAAAGAGACATCCTCACAGATTAAACGACTTCAAAAACAATTACTTTTTCACCTACAGTAGAACAATTTTTATACTATTGGCAAATTTTGCTTCTATAATATTTTTAGTCTGTATTTGGAGCAATGTGAGAGCAATTTCACCACTTTCAATTTTAATAATCAAGTTTAACATGGCACATACAATTTCTGCATAGACTAGGCACTGGGTAATTTTTAGTTGGTTTTTCTTTCTTGTAATTCAGAGCCTCATATATTCTAGAAGCAGTTTTCCTCAGGAATCTGACATTTAAAAGTGGTAGGCAACAGATCAAAGAGATGCTGGGTTGTGTGGTCATTTAGCCTCTAAATTTTTTCATAGCTCAACTTTACTGTGATCACAACTCTTTGGAGCCAGTAGCAATAATAATTTTTCCACCACGCAGAAAGTTACAACTGTCGTATACTATTGTGCTAGCTAGATATGAGAAAAATCAATAGGCACCGAATATGCTTTTAAATTTTAATTCTCAGACCAATACTATGATATTGAAGAATCTTGTGAAGCAGGAGAGTTTTGTTTTCAAATGCGAATTTCTAGTCTATAATATGAAGAGTTAAGAAACTTTTCCATTTGAATAGATAGATGACAATTAATTGTGGCAAATCTCTGTAAGAAGCCAAAGACAGGAGAAAAAGGTAGGGAAAGAGAACCTAGAATATGGGGAAGAAAATGAACTAGAGGGACAAATTCTTGCTTCTGCTTTATGTGTAAGTAACTATGGAATAGATGGGGTTAGGAAAAGCTGGTCTTTAGTTTTATAGGTATTGGTCTACTGTGATATTGAATATATTAGCATATTAAAAGCACATTAAGGACAAATAACACTTGACTAGCAGCTGAAAGGTTTAGTTAATAAACAAAATAAAGAATTCATTATAGTGTTTTATTTATAGTAATTCAGAGTTTACAGTTTGCTAGAGAGTAGCAATCATTTTATCCATTAGAAAAGTAAATATGCTAACAGTGTATCTCCAGAAGGGGAGATCGATGGGTCATGGCCCTGCGCTAGTGCAAGAGAACCTCAGCTGTGCTTGCATATGCGCTGCTATTGTCCCTACCTGTCATCGTAGGCTGGTATACTGGAGTCTGATAAGGTCAGTTCATCATCCACCTGTCTATCCATCCACCCATTCACCCCTCCTTTCTTCTTGTATTTTCCATATTGTTATTCAACGTTTGTTTTAAAATGAGAACAAGCACACTCGTCGCACACTTAACCCGTGTGCATCTGCAGAGCCACGAAGCTGAAACCCCAGTTGTAATCTCTGGATTCCCTGTGGCCGATTTATCCTGATGCAGTTCTTTGGTGAAGCCCAGGAGCATGTGAATTTCCATTACTTTATCAGTGTACCTTGTTAATGGTATAGCTTAATTTACATACCAGTAGTACCTTTTCACCACAGGTAAGAAATTGAAATGTTCAAGGTCAATTAACTGCGAATGCTTCAAGTTGGCTAGTGCGGCTGTAACTGTGAGCGATGCTGGGAAGAGGAAGAGGCCGGAGAGGGGCTCTTCTTTCTCTGATGAGAATTGATGATCCAATTTTAACCCACTAGGATAATGCTGATTCTTTTTTTCCTTGCTGTGCTTCTCTCCTGTTTGCTTTTTAAATACTGGTCTATTAAGGTGTGCTGCGATGCCAGAGGAACACTGTTAAATTTCAGATTTTTTTTAAAAATGCGTATCCTCATTAATGATTTCAGATCATTAAAATCAACTAGAAAGAGCAAGAAGCAAAATAATCAGTATTTCTCAGAGGTATAAGCTGATACAGATAAAATTTCTAAATGTAGAACTTCCAAGTTAAGATGGTAGCTGCCTGAGGGGCCCTTTCCTAATATTTTATTCCAAAATAGGATAAAAATTCAGAGATATATGCAGTTGTAGTAATGAGAGGACTAAAGAATCCTTGCTAGCACAGGACTTTAAGGTTTTGGTAGGCCCTGGAGTGTAACAGTGATATTAGATAAGACAGTGCAGGAAGACAGCCACCCGTTCACTTCCCCCAGTGTGTGCCTAGATTTCAAAATAGGCACAGAGGGAGAGGAAGAAGTTGACTCTACTGCCTGGTCCCTAAGTCCTAAGCATCTGTGATCCCTCTTAGAATTCTCTTTTCTACATCAACGAGAACTACCAGATCCCACTTACGTATCGTGACGGTGAGAGGCACTCTTACATCCTTGTTAAGAGCACTGTCTCTTGCCTGCTCTGTGGGCAAGGACAGGATGTTCAAGCTCTGTGTGTCTGACTCATCTCCTATTAAGTAGGTTGCCTTAAGAATTAAATAACAGTGCTTCACAGAGAGTTCCTGATGCAAAGGACTCACTTGCTAATAAATATCAAGTCACCCCGTAGTAGCCTAAGTGGAGGAGGATGGCTGTCGCTCCATCGCATCCTGAGAAGTGTGGAGGAAGTGGCTCGGCTTTAGAAGTGATGTTATGTGAGCAATTCCTACTGAGGTTCAAGAACTCCTCAAAATATCTGCAGCAGGGTGCTATTTAAGGTGTGCTTCAGATCATTCAAGAACAATTTCCACGAAGACAACAGGCTGCAAGAATAAGTGGCCCTTGTGGGCGGCAGACAGCAGGGCTGGGAGGACACCGACACCCACAATTTACCAGAGCCGCGTCTGCCCGAGAAGCTTGAATGCTTTATTCTACACTAGCCTAAACGAGATAGATTGTATTAATGACTAAGAAAACTCTGCTCCATGCCACAGGTTCTTCAAGGTCTAATACAAAGAAAATTAACACTAAAACCACTTTAATAAAAAAAAAGATTAGCAGTATGTGTTAAATATTCTGGACATAAGAAAAGGAGAGTATTGTACCTGTGATATATGGAGTGGAAGACACTTTAAAATAATGATTCACTTTAAGGTAGAAGACCTGAGAAAAGAACCTACTTCTAAAGACAGGCAGAAGTTAGTGGGATGTCATCAGCTGAGGACATTTTTGTAATAGAACTTTAAAAAGATAATGCTTGACCCAGATTTGAGGCCCTGGTTGGAGGCCGGTCAGTTTCCTTTCTTGAGTGATGGATCATATCAATATCCCAACCACTTCCTTTATTCGACTTTGACCATCTGGGGTCACTATGCATTGACCCTTGAACACTGGAGCCAGGTACCAGGCAACGAGAGACAGACCTCTGTCTTAGAATCTCCTAGAGAAATTATCCCTGTTAGCGAATTCACAAGGAGCACAGAACATCTAGCTGGTCTTGCCTACTTGCTGTATTTAAGCTATCTCCTACAGCTGTAGCTTGTCATCTTGTCCCCTAGTTCAGCACTGTGTGGCCCTGCTTGGCAGCCTTCTCTTGCTTGGAGTTAGAAGTAACAAAGCATTGTGCTTTTCATCTGTCAGAATGCCACTGTGTTTGGTTCCACCATTAAAAGAATCTTTGAATCTTAAAAAACTCTTATAAATATAGGTGTGTCCCTTCAGTCCTCCCCATGGGATATGCTCTCATGATACTAGCAAGAGCTTATTGGGTATCTCTTTGAACAAAGACTGAATTCAAGATTTCATAAAATAGGTTGCAGATGTCAGGAATAGTGTTCAAATGAAAAGTATATGTAAATTCATGGTAATTTCTGTCGAAAATTCCAGCCCTTATTACAACCTCAAAGTGGGTGACAAAAGAATTTGGGAAAGAAATTCTATACTAGTATTCTCATTTGAGATGTTACATAATACACATTGAATTTTAATAGCTATCGAGTAGCAGATAAATGAATTCTCAAAGTACAAATTCCTTTTTCATGTCTTTTGCAGTGATTACATATTAGTTACATGACCAGCAATATTAATATTAAAATAAATGAATTTCCCAAATTGGAGTAATCTAAAAAAGGGGAGACATTTTAATAAGACAGGAGCCTCAGCTAGCTGTAACACTCTGATATGTGTTAGATAAAATAAAACACAGGTGCTGCTCTACGCAGACTTCCTTGGTGCCTATCAGACTCCCATTTCTCTTTCCTGAGTGTTCAGTTTCTGGCTTTCCTGCGAATGGCTCTGTTACGGCTCCTGGCTCTCCTTCCACCCTCTCACCATGACCCTGTTCCTCAGATGGTAAACTGGCTGTGGTGGTAGTGGTCCATTTCCTTGGTGTACAGCAGTTGTCCCGCTTCCTTGAAGTAATCCCCACCATGACCAATTAGAAAGATGGTCATGTTTAATAACTGGTTTACAAATTGGGAAAAAATAACAGTAGTCTCTCCTACATTATTGCAAGATGAGTCCAACCCACCCCTGTATGGCAATCTCCAGTTTTTGTTACTCCCTGCGCATGCGCCACCATTAATGCTACCCATGTTAAGTTTCAAGCATGTTTTTTGTTATTAGTCCTTCATGTGAGGTTGCAAGCTCTCTGTGGGTAGAATCACTCCTTGGCCATCTTTGCTTGCCAAGGATAAAAAAATGTACTGTACTTCATCCCCTGGGAAATCTGAAGGCAACCAAATGGAGCATTATAGGCACAATAGCCCTGGATGATAATCCCTTGTATCCATGTCTATGGGCAAAGGGATTGACTCAGTCCTGCATGCAGGATGTTTAATGCTATATTTAATGCTATTTCCAACCACTTACGGTAATTTTTTAAATACATGTTTTCTATATCTATGAAAAGTTTCGTATTCTGGAAATTTCATATTCCAGAAACCTTCAATTCCATAGAAGAATACAGTCTTACTGGCATTTCTACTTTGCTAATGGATTTGTAATTAATTCTTCCCTCCTAATTTTCTTCTTCTATTTTCATGCAAGGAGCCGGCGGCTGGTCACCACTGGTGTCGAATAAATACCAGTGGTTGCAGATTGACCTTGGGGAGAGAATGGAGATCACCTCCGTGGCCACCCAAGGGGGCTACGGGAGCTCCAACTGGGTGACCAGCTACCTCCTGATGTTCAGCGACAGTGGCAGGAACTGGAAGCAGTATCGGCAGGAAGACAGCATCTGGGTATGTTTCCTGAACAAAAGGTGTGACAACGCACAGTCCTCACTGCAGATTGTTTACCAGTCCCTTTTGTTAGGTTGAAATGAAGGATATTCAGAAATACTTTGAAAACAAGGTCTGACACAAAATGTGGTACATGTTCGTTTTCTAATACAGTTGATGGTAAATTCATTAAAATATTACCGGCAAATTTATTTCACAGAATCACTAGAAGTAAAAATAGCTCCTTAAACAGCACAGGTAAGACTATTTCAAATTAGTCCAAGGAATTTATTATTTTTTTTTTCTGATGGCTATGAGATTTCTGAAACTGCCAAATATGGAGGTTTATATGTAGTTATACTTGGGGCATGTATGTATATGTATGTGATTTATATATAAGCCTTTTGCAAGTGTATTTAAAGTGTGCAGAATGCTGTGTGTTGTGAAGGGGCCCTATAGGAGAGTGAGAAAGTGACAGGTTATACTAAGTTGTGTGTAGGGGCTGTGGTTGACTGACAGCTTACCAACAGCCAAAGATAAAAGGAAGCTAGCGCTGTGGAGGCAGCTCTGCAGTCTAAGCATCTGTCTGGCAAGCGCAAGAACCCGTGTTTGATCCTGGGCAGCACATGCTGCGTTACGTCCAGAGTTCCGGGTGTCCCGCGCAGGCCATCAAAACTGAGCGCGGTGGCACAAGCCTGTAATCCCAGTGCTGGGGAGGCTGAAAACAGGAGGATCACTGTAAGTCTGAGTCCAAGTTGTGTAGTGAGATCCTGTACCAAAGAAATACTTAAATAAGAATAATTTAAGGGGTTTAACACCTGAGCCTGCTGTGTCAGCCCCGCACCCGGGGCGCGCTGAAACGGTAATTGAGAGTGGGCATGGTGGAGCGTGCCTGTAATCCCAGCTCCTGGGAGGTTTTAAACAGGCAGATCACTATGAGTCTGCTCTAGTAGTGAGACCCTGAACACCCTGTAGACCCTTCTCCCCCAGCAAAAAAAAGCAAGCAAGAAAGAAAAAGATTAACTTTAAAAAAAAAAAGGAAGCTAAAGGATCTTGCTTTATGGTAAAGAGATCAAGGGCTTCCTTGTTCTTCTAGCAAGGTACTTGTCTGATCTTCTGTGGGCCAGGGACAACATCATACTGCAATGAAAAGAAGGAGTGTGTGTCTATATTTCCCCCAGCTGGGCTGGAACAAGAGAAAATGGATAAGTTAATGAAGCATCACCCTTTAGCACAAAGATAATTTGGAAGCCTATCTGGGCACATAATGATAATTTTCTTGGACTTATCAACTGACTCTTTAAAAAAACCCCAACAACTTCCTGGAACTATGTCATACATTATAAGTTCATTGAAGAAATGAACTGTGATTTACTCACCTTTGGGTCTCTAACCCTCTTGATGGCCACGTAGTGCATGTTAACTGGTGTACGTAAGTGGGAGGAAATAGCCCTCTTCTTCATAGAGAACAGTGGGCTGCAGGAAATAGCCTACTTGTATTTTTAAGAAAAGCTGCTTTAAAATCAAAAACAAGTTGAGGCATGTGTAAGAGCGAGAAAAGCAGCACAACTGGGTATTACAGCTGAGTGAATTCCAGGAGAGCCGTTCAAACTAGGCATAAAATAAACAGTAATTATGAACCAATAACAATGAAAGCTTAATGAGGTATTTCTTTTAACTAGGTGTTTGGATTATATTTTGGTCTTTTTCTAAATTAAGCATTGGATTTTAAACTGGATAAGTAGTGGCTAATGTCTCCTAGCATTTAGTGATACTAATTAAAATGTGTGTGTGTTTGATATGTGTTAAAAAGTGATACATCAACCATGAGAATTATTGTGGTTTGGCCTATCAGGCTTCGGAAAAGCCCAATGTAGGCATTGCCATTTGCTTTTTCTTGTCTGCTTCTATTAAAGATGAAATGTGCATAGTGAAGTAGTGTCATGAGTACTGTTCTTGCTAATCCAATCCACTAATTCCAAGGGAATGTTAGCTATCACAATACCATCAAGGAAATGCAGGTTTTTAGGCTATGCTGTAATTTGTTGGTTAACTCAACTGTCATCCCCTCTTAAGCATAAGCTCCCTATGAGCAAAGACCCCTTTCCAACCTCCCCTTACAGCATTTCCAAAGGGTAATGGAGCCTTGCATGTTGCACACAATTGCTAGGTGCTTGTGGAATGAAGTAGTGAAAAAAAAGGAAGAGTGAATAAAGAATGAATGACCTGTACTTTTTGCAGAAGATACTTCTCATAGCTTAAAGCTATACTCTCCCACTTTGATCACTGCTTCCTTTTAATATATATATATATATATATATATATGGTACTGGTTTAATAGATGCAGATTTAGAATGTCACATTTCTTTCTCCCTTATATGTTTTGAACTTTTTATGGGCTTTTTTTCCTCTTTTTATCTCAGCATAGCATTTTTTTGGTATTTGATGCCCAGTGTGGGTTCAGAATCCTGAAGACTTATAAAAAGAAAAAAAAATCTGGAGGTCATCGTTGATTGAGTTTCTCTAAGAAGAGCTTACATAGGTCATAAAGAAAGCATTATAACTTGGATTATAGGAGTAAAAATACTATTTCATGATGTGGAAAACGAGATCATGAATCCAGGTGATGTCCAGAGACGTGATTTCCTGTGTAATGATCAATGACTTTGTTGAGTGAATTAGTGAAGGAACCAATAGGTAAATGAATAGCTTTGGATATAGTGGTCTCCTAACCTGTGGCTAGCTTTGCACAAATTTCTGGGAGATATTAAGAGTGTATATTGATGCTATTGAAGAGATGCAGAATATCAGAAGACAGCAGGAAATGATGCTGAGGGACATTTAAGTGTTAAGTACAGAGTCTTAGATTTGGAAGAGGAAATAATCTGGAGGCCATTGTAGACTGAGTTTCTCTAAGAAGAAGACGTTACAAAGGTCTTTTTTTTTCTGTATTTAGGACAGGGTCTATAGGATATACAGGGTTTCACTACATAAATCAGACTAATAGTGATCCCCCTGTTTACAGCCTCCCAAGTGCTGGGATTACAGGCACAAGCCACCATGCCCAGTCTCAATCACTGTCTCAGTACACACCGGGGACGGGGCCAGCACGGCAGGCCAGGGCACCAAACTCCCAGCCTCTACATCTGCCTAAGCAGGCAATTTAATCCACTGAGCTATTTGGCCAGCCCTAAAGGTTTTTAAAAAGCATTATAACTTACATTATGGGAGGAATAAGAAAAGTATTCCATGAAATTGGTAAATAAGATCATGAACCTAGGTGATAGCCAGAGACGTGGTTTCTTGTTTTAATGAACAGTGAAACTCCTGGTCAGATGGGACTGTCAGGTTTGAGAAGCACTGGATGATAATTTTGCACGTGGGAGAGAAATTTCATGTTCATAACTTCGAATGTCAAGATCAAAATGAACACAATGGAACAGGTACCAGGACCACTCATAGCATAGATAATGTTATGGTACAGGTAAAATGGTCTCAAATCTTCAAATTGACTTCTCTGTCTCTCTCTATGGATATTCACAAATATAAGTTTACACAATGCATATTTTAATTATATGCCTTATGCTGTATAGTTATAGATGTCTACACTTACATGTCACTGTATTTGTACGTGTCTTTTTAGATTCGCATATTTATAGATATCTCCTGTTGGTCCCAGGCAGGCTGCAAAGCTCCTTAGTCACTGTGGTCCCCTCAGAGAGCCGCTCTCTCTCCACAGCTCTCCTGCTGCCAAAGCAGGGAAAGGGAAAGATGGCAAATTATTCCCTGAATCTTGACTCTTCCACTTGGGAGAACACCAATCACCTCAATCTGTACTTTGGTAACCAAAAAGCCACCTTGAATCCATGGGCACAGTGAGGAATTTGAGACCTCGTCATGTGTTACACACACGTATTGCCTACCTTGTTTCTCTGCTGAGTTCTTTTTCATTCTTTGTTCAATTCTGGTCGATAATTATGGGATGTATCTAAAGTCTATGAACCTGGCCAGTTTCCTTGAACAGCAGCACCACAGTCTACTTCAGATCATATGAAGAAATCCGTGGCGTGGGTAGGAAACACGCACACATTGTGGCAGTACTGCTAGAAGGAGAAAGGAAAGATGACTGTTTCGGGTTTGGAAAGGAACACAGTGGGAACAGGCAGCATCCGTGGAGATGTTTCAGTGTGGGATCCTCATTCTGCCTCTGTTTGATTCCGTCAGATACCTGAGGGAACAAGCACTTCCACGTATCTGAAGGAATGAATGAAAGCTCTGTGGCTTCTTACAAAAATCTGTAAGAAAAAAAAGACATTTTCATTATCATGTGTAGATTTTACTGAATATAAATATAAGCTTCATAGGTATGTGTTTTTATCTAAAAACTCATTAGAACATTTCTTCCCAATAAAATGTATAGTCCAACACTCAAAATGTAATTTATGCATAGTGCTCTGCTGGATGGTGAATAAATATTTTACGAAAATTTAGAAAATGCAAGTCACTAAAATTATTCCTCTTAAATTGAAGGCAAAATGAAATCTTGCAACAACTATGATAAAAAGATTCTTTTCAGTCAGTTTATTCTAAATGATTGAAAAAGCAAATGTAAGGTACAATTTTCAGTCATTTAAGAGCAATTGCTGAAATATCATGAAATGACCATTTTTGAAATTATTTTGGATAGATTGACATGTACAAGAACTTCACAGCCAAATTCTCTAAATTCTGTCTGATACACACTCGAGATTCTTTTGTCCTTTAGAACTGCTTTACAAGGCATGGAATGGTGGTTTGAATTTGATAAATCTGATATAGATAAATATGCTTGTGGTATGTTAAGAGTAGCTGACTTTTTATACTGACTTCAGTTGTAGCAGATATTCCAAATAAAAACTTTTATTGTATTTCTAAATGCAGTAAACCATCATTTTTGTTTTTTAACTGGAAGTGTCTGTTGCCTGAGATTTGGGTTTGGCTGGAGAAAGCTTTTCACAGATACCTTGTGACATAGTGCATGT